TGAGGGCAGGGAAGATGTCTGTCTTGTTCAGGGCTTTACAGTGGACCTCAATAAATCAATGAAACCCCAGTAATTAAAACACAGACTAGCACATGTTTGGTCTCCATTACTCTTTGACTAACTGACTGAACGTGCCCTCCTCCCTGTCCTGGAGAGCAGGCCTGAGGGTTGTTGGAATGCTTGTCCTCCATCCTAAACACAGCCCTGCGTTGGCGGAGGTGGCGCTGGCAGACATTACCTGCGCCTCATCGGCTTCATGCAGCTCTTCAGCTGCCTGGCCTCAGCCTCCACGGGGCCCTGGCACTCGGGCTGTGGCTCCAGCTGCTGCTGCTGGAGCAGCCCTTCGGCATCAGTGGGAATGGGAGCGGGTGCAATCCGGAGCAGAACTGTGTAGTTGCGGCCGTGGTTGTTGGCCCAGAAAGTGCCCTCGGGGGTCTCATAGCGCACCACGAAGTCCAGGCGCGCCCCATCGCCCGCGCCCTCAGCAAAGGGCAGCTGGAAGGCAAAGCGGTCGGTGCGGCCACCGTCGTCGGGCGAGGAGGCGGACACCTGGCCAGGGCCCAGGCCAAGGCCCAGATCCAAAATGGGATCTCCTGCTCCTGGTCCTCCCGCTCCTGCCCCCGGCGGGCTGCGCGGGACGTAGCGTGCTGGGTGGTCGCAGAAGGAAGCCCAGCCGTCGTGTGAGGCCCGCACGTGCACCACCTTCTCGAAAGAGCGGTTCAGCACGCGGACCAACCCTCGCAGCACTGGCGGGCGCCCCCCAGGCACCCACACCCCGGCACCCCCGGGGACTGCTCCGGGAGGCGGCAGCAGTGCCTCCAGCTCCACCATGACGCGCCCCAAGCGCTCCAGACGGCCCGGCGCGGGCGGCAGCGAAAATGTGGGCACCAGGTAAAACCCCCCGCCAGCGGGAACGGGGCACAGCGGCGAGGGCTCGGGGCAAGCCTCCTCTTCCTCCTCCCCTTCATCCCCATCCTCGCCATCGTCGTCCTCAGCCCCGCCGCCGTCGCCATCTTGCCCGGCCGCCGCCGCCATCTTGCCCGCCCCGGGCCCGCCCCACGGCCGGTAGCGGCGCAGCTGCGCCAGCGGCAGCCCCAGGGCCTCGTCGGCGAACAGCACCCTCCGCGGGGCCACCGCTGCCTCTACTGAGGTGCGGGGCTCGCCCGAGGCCAGCGAGGGGGGCGCGGGATGCCGCAGCGGGGGCTCCACAGGGGCCGTGCGCGCCATATTGGCGGCGGCGGCGGCACCGACGGCACCGGCGGCGGGACCGGCGGGGGCAGGGCCTGAAGGGGCGGGCAGCCAATGGGAAGGCCAGCGCGGGCGGGGGGTTACGACTCACGGGGGACGTAGGCGGTGAGACGAAGACAGGTATAGAGGAGAGCCAATGGGGAGCCGCGCATGCGTGACGTAGGCGATGAAGCGCGTGCAGGGGAAGCACACAACCAATGGGGATGCCCGAGAGTGGGCGGTGTAGGAGGCGGGATTCTCGAGGAATCAATGGAGAGGCTGAATGCGTGGGGGGTGCGGGCCCGGGATGAAAAGAGCAGACGTAGGATAGCTAATGGGGAAGTGTGAGCTGGTGTGGCGGGGAAAATGGAATGGCTACAGGCGATGGGGGCAGCAGGGAGTGAACAGAAAAGCCAGAAAAGTAGGCGATCCGTGGGCTGCGTAGGTAGTGGGACGGAAGAGAGAGACAGTGAGGAGCCAATGGGGAGCCGCGCGCTGGTGCTGTAAGAGGATGACGATAATAGCTGCAGTGAGCCAATAGAGAGTCTTGTAAGTGTGCCCTACGCCTTCAAGGGGCGGTGCCAGGGCAGAAGTAACCAATAAGGAGGCTAAAAAAGGTGAACAGGAGGTGGTGTCAGCAGCCTCAGCGGGGAGGGGAGGGGAGGGGAAGAGCCAATGGGGTGGGCGGTGAAGTAGCAAGTAGAGCTGCCGGGTAGCCAATGGGGGAGCCAGAGTGAAAGCAGTTGAGACCGCAAAGGGCAGTGCTAGAATGGGATGAACCAATGCCGAAACCAGAAGGTGTAGAAGGACCCGGAGGCGGGACTGCAAACAGCAGAACCAACTGGGATGTTTTAGGTGTTGTGAAGGAGATGAACAGCCAGTAAGGAGGCCAGAGAAGAGGACAGTGCGTAGGCCGCCTGAGCTGTAGGGTGATCAGGCCACTGATCTGTAGAATGTAGGCAGCCCTTAGGAAGAGTACGCCTCTGATGGATGAATTTACATTCTCCTTAATCCTCTGTGACTCCGTGTTGCCCCAGGAGTGTGAATGCCCAGAGCCCCTGAAGACCTAGATTGCATCCTCGCGTGAAACCTAAGAAGGCAAAACGGACCTCTCCTGTCAGTTACTGGGCCTGCCCGACCCAGATCCAAGCCTTTACTTGAGCGGTACCACTAGCCACTAATACCCCTGATTATCGTCTTCAGTATTCTCCAGACTTGGCATCATTCTTGAGTGAATGGCCAAATGAGAGTCAGAGCTTTGTGGGGAAGATTAGCTTTTTCTAACTCCAGCTCAGAAACACTGAGTGATGACTGTATGCATCCACGAGTTGGTTGGGCATGTTGGCAGACATTGACTAATGTAATCACAAATCAGAGCCCTGTCTTTCTTGCCTGACTCAAACTCCACACCCCACAGTGGGCTCACCTCCCTTCTTTCTGTCCTGGGTCTCTACTCCTACTGTTCCCTCCTCCAAGAGTACTGCTCCTTCTTGGTCGTCTAATGAACTCCTCTCACTCCCCTTCCACTCTTACTTTGAGACCCTGCCTCCTGTGGGAACGGAATTATAGCTTGTGTCCACTGAACATGACCATTCATACATTCTCCCTCCATCCTGGGAGGATTTTCTGAACACCCACTGTATGGAAGGTTCTGACTCACAACATCCCTAGGAGAAAGGCAGTTCTCCTGGCTTGCTCCCCTCCTCAGGTCTGTGTCCAGGATAGGGTCATTGGCCAGGAACTAATATGTTTAGTTGCAAATAACAGGGAAACCCACACAAAATAATATGGGCTTAAACTAGATAGAACTTTTTTTTTCTCTCACCTAAAATTTTAAGATGCTAAGCAGTCCAGTAACTCCTTTGTGTCCTGGTCTGGCCTAAGACTGTCATTCTTCAACAAATCCTATCAGCTCTCCATTTGCTATATTTCCCAAATATGCCCTCTCCCACTCCCTTCACTGCCAGCACCATTATCAGTCAAGTGGATTGCTGCAGTAGCCTTCCTCTCACTGATGCCTCTGCTTCCACCCTCACTCCTACAGTCCATTCTACACTCAGCAATCAAAGGGATCCTGTTAAATCCTACGACAGTTCACATCTCTCCCCTGCTCACAACCCTCCCATGGCCTCCTACTCACTCAGTAAAAGCCAAGGTCCTTACCATGGGCTATAAGGTCCTGTATGGTTCAATGCCCCTTCCCCCCATCCCCTCTCTTACCTCACTCCCACCCCTCTTTCTCTCACTTGCACCACTCTAACCACACGGACCTCCTTGGTATATTTTGAGCAGATCAGGCACACTCCCACATCAGGATCTTAGCACTGGCTATTTCCTCTGGAATTGCTCAGATATCATCTACATGACTCCCCCATCACCTCCTTCAAATCTTTGTCAAAGGCCCACTTCTCTGCGGACTTTTGCCAATCTCTCTATTTAATCCTGTCCCCTCTCCCACAGAAGCCTCCCCTGCGAGAGGATATAGTCCAGTGCAGAGAGGTGGTGACCCCGGCCTCTACCCACTTGACCCCTTGGTCCTCGCTGTGCATGAGTCCTGGCCCCCAACAGCAGCAGCATCACCTCTCACTCAGCCTTCTCCCTCCTTTGCTGGTGCTCCTCTCACAGAGTGAGAGGATGGGTAGGGGCCCTGTGGGGAGGATGCAACCCACACCTTGGACTCTGAAAGGGAAAAAAGAGCCCCCTCTCTCAGGAGGGAACAGGTCCTGGGGCAGGGAATGGAGCCTCAGCTTCTAGAACTGACCTGGTTTATAGTTATATAGTTCAGACCCCTCAAGTCCACAAGGAGCAAGGGGACATCCGTAAAGTCAGACTCCTTCCTGACAAGCACGTTCCTCACCCCATGTCTTGCTCTTAACCACATGCCACATCTTTTAAGCTCCTGCTGTATGCCAGATCCCTAAAGGCCTCCAGCCTGAGACCTTACCCCACTTGGTGCCTCCCCTGGCTGCTCGGCACACATGGGCCATCTTTGGGTCTCAGACATGTCCTACCACCTCAAGCGCCTCAACCAGTGAAATTGTTTTGAACTAATGGTAGGGAGAGTTGGTTTTTTTTTTTTTCTTTATTGTTGTTGTTGGCTGGTTTTTTTTTTTTTTTAGATCTTTTTTCTCTATTCACTTTTTTTTTTCTTGTCTTTACAAAGCCAGGCCACCAGGCCCCTCTGCACTTTTCCAGAAAGGTAAGTCTGAGTGGAGGAAAGAGGCTCTCCTCCTTTTGACAACTTGGAAGGTGATGGGGAGAAAAAGAAGTGAAGGGGTGGGTGGGTCTTGGACAGGAGGTTTATACCATGTGAATAAGCTCTTCTCAATTTCTGTTCCCCAGGCCTGAAGCCAGTCTTGCAGACGGGTTGGAGTAGACGTTGGATGGCAGAACCCTAGGCTCTGCAGAGCACTGGAGTGCCAGGGGCAGAGAGTCTCAGCCATGGCTTATCTGGAGAAGCCCCTGGGGCTGTGCACGCCTGTTGACCATTGATTGGAAGGAATGCTCACTGAGGTGAGGAAATGCAGCCACCAAGTCTTGGACAACCCGAAACCTTCAAGCCCCCTGAAGAATCTCCAAATCTCAGAACTTCCCTGTCATTGCAGCCTAGAGTTTAAAACGTGAGACCATTGTGCTCAAGGAAACATGGAGGTTTCAAACTCCACCACCAATGGGACACAGGGCCCCTATTCACCAGCTCTGTGATCCCAGGCACATTGCCGGACTACCTCATGTCTCCATTTTCCCGATATGTATAACGGCCGTGATGACAGATGGATCTCCGAGGGCTGTGGTGAGGATTGAATGTGATCCGTTGTGAGAAGTGTTCGGTGCTGTGCCTGGCACATGGAAAATCTGAGATACCTGTCAGCTATGGGGATGATGGTGGATATTTGGAATCCTAAATCCTTAGAAACAGGGATTTGTCAGAGTAGAAAATTACAAAGGCTGAGGGCCTCAGAAGCATCAGAACATGATGTACCTGACCATGAGAAGTTTGGGGTCCCAACGGGCCTCTCCAGGCTTTGCAAGGATAGATATGTTAATACTGGGGCCTGGTTGGGACGTTCCTGGTAGTGTAGCCTCTGGGTCAGAGTTCTCAGGCCCTAAGATATAATGAAGCAAGGCTTTTCTCCCTTTCCTCATTCAATGATGTTCAGTGGATTCTGGGAGCCAGTGATTCCCAGACTCTTGGATTCTGTGAATTGTGAGGGGGTAGGGAGGGACTCCCTGCATTTTTTCTCTGTGAATTAACTTCCATGCCCCTCACCCTCAGTGAGAAGATGGGTTGCAAGAACGTCCAGAGCTCCCCATCCTTGGGCAGTAAGAGCGTGATGACCATGTCAATTCCACTTAAGGGTAAACATGCCTGGACCAGAGCAAGGCCTCTGGAAATACAACCCTATTTAATTTCTTTCCCTGGCATTTCCCATCCACGCATAGCCTGTAGTTCATCTCTCCCTTTCCTCGGAGACCCTCACATATCCCTTCACTCACGGAGTAGCACCTCTACTTACCTGAGAAGCCCCTGTGATTTATTTGAGTTCTTTTCCCTTTTTTTCTAATTCTACACAATTGTTTTAAAAACTGTGGTTTCTCATGAGCCTTGTTATCTCATTGATACCTTTCACCTCTGTAGTGAGGGGAAGAAATCATATTTTCAGATGACTCGTAAAGGGCAAAGAAAAAACCCAAAATTTCAAAATTTCCGTTTAAGTCTCATAATCAAGAAGAGAAGAAACAGAGCAAGCGAGTGAGAGAGAGAGAGAGAAAAAAAACTATGAGAACCCCCCCCACCCCGTGATTATCAGCGTACACACTCATCGAAAAAAAATTGGATTATTAGAAGAGAGAGGTCTGTGGCTTCCACACCGTGGTTTTTCTTCTCAGTATAAAAGCAAAGTTGTTTTGATATGTGACAGTTTCCCACAAGCCAGGCTGATCCTTTTCTGTCAGTCCAGTTCACCAAGGTGAGTGTCCCCACTCTCCCCCACCAGATGTGGGTACAACGGAAGAGACGACAGTGAGGTAGGCATTGAGGGGATTGGTGGCCCCTGGGGACTGTCAAGACGCACACAGCTCCTGTTGTCCTGGTCAGGTAAGGTATTATTTACAGTAATAATAGTAATAACAAATGCCAGAGACTGATAGATCAAGCACTTAATCAGTGCTGAGGCAGAGGCAAAGATAAACAAATGGCTCAATGTGTGGATGGGTAAGATGTTTTAAATATATCAACTGCCAGTCTTTGAATTGCAGAGCTTTGAACAACTTGAAATACTATCCAGGTAAAACTGGAAATTTCAACTACGTCTGTGGCATCTCTTTGGCTCTTCTCTCTTGATACCTCCCATCCCTCTCTGTCTCGTTCTTTTCATGTTTCTCTGCCCCACTCTTTTTCTGTCTTTCCTGGAATGCACAATCTCCATCCCTCTGTCTCTCTCTGGCTCTGACCATCTCCCCTGTTGCTGTCTCCTCCATCTTGACCGACCACACTCCGTCTGTCTCCTTTCCTCCGTCTCTCCCACCGCCTTTCCTATCCACTCGTCTTGCCTTCTCCCTGCCTGCCGCCCCGCACCCCAACGTCTAGCACAGAACTTTGTACAGTTAGCGGTTAATAACAGTGTGTTTAGTAACGTTGAGAAGGACATTTACATTTTATAAGAATGAGCTTCAATTCTGTTTGCCCTGATCAAAAGAGGAGTTGGGTTGGGCTGAGCCCTTAACATGAACTTGTGCTTGCACTGCATGATAAGAGCCTCCTGGGGGGCACTTCACACCATTGTCAACCATGGTTTAGCTGCGGGGTCATACCCTTAGGACCTGGTTCGTGTGTGTGTGTATGGCCATGTGTGTGCGTGTGCATGCGTGTGTGTGTATGGCCAGGATCCATGTCCAGTAACAGAGCAGATCATTCAGGGTTAGTGTGACCTCGTCTCTGCAGGCTTAGCAAGTGCTCACTGAGTGTTAACTGTTAGTATTTTTTTTAACCAAATTAGAATCATGCTAACTGGCTATCTATTGATTTTGTTTCTGCTTTATTCAATGAATAGCATTTTTGTAGGTCACTGAAAAATGTTTCAACATAAAATGATCTTTTATAACTGTCCAGACTATCCTCACATTGGTGTGAACCACGGCTGGTTTGACCAAGTGCTGATTTTTGGACATTCGGGTTGTTTCTAGTTTTTTCCCATAATCATCCCTAATTAATCCCTTGGATTCCCACAAGTCGAGCGGCTAGGGCAAAGGGTTTGTGAATTTTTAAGGTTTCTGACCCTTTCTACAAATTGTTCTCCCAAAAGGTTGTCCTGTTTTATGTTCCCTCTACTTGAGCTAACCATGGGTGGGTATTATCGTTTTTTAGTCCTTTCTCAACATAACAGGTAAGAAAAATATTACCATGTTGTTGAAATTTGCACCTTTTGATAATTTATACTGTTTGTTGACCATTCGTGCTTTTCTCCCCCCAGTTGTCTGGTCATGTCCTTAGTCATTATTTTAATTTATTGATGTGTCACAGCTCTTTATATAAAAGGATATTAACCTTCCCTCAGCCATACATATACAGCAAATATTCTCTTTCAATTCACCATTTGCTGAAGTTGTTTTTCTATTTCTGCTGTTTTGTGATGCTTATGATGTTTTTATATTGTCAACGAGGTTAGTCTTTTCTTCTGTGGTTACTGTCTCTGGTTTTATGCTTAGAAAGTCCTTTCCCACTTGAAAATGAGATAAATGTTCACCTGTGTTGGCTTCTATTCTCTTTTATGGCTTCATTTTTTCCATTTAGTTTAGAGGTTAAGAGTGTGGGTATTGGAGCCAGACTGTCTGGGACAAACCCAACCTCAGCCCAGGCAATCTGTGTGATTTTTAGCCAGGCATCTAACCTCTCTATACCTCCATTTCCTCATAGGTACTGTGATGGTTATAATAGTACCAACCTCAAACGGTGGTTACAGGGATTAAATCTCTCAACCTTCTTAAATGCTTAGCATAGGGCCTGGCATACAGTAAACCCAAGATCAATATAAGATATTATTATTTATCCCTTTAATAGATCTGGAATTTATTTTAGGGTATATGATGTGGGTGACATTTCACACTGGGCGGGGGGGGGGTTGGTGGGAAAATGGATTGGTCAGTCATTAACTTTATTGTCCCCTTAATTATCCCAGAAACATTTGTTAAACAGTCTCTTTCAGTGTCTCCTGGTTTGAAATGCCACATGCATCACAACTCCATTCTCTGTAGACGTTTGTCTGTATTTGAGCTTTTCCCCTTCTGTTCTATTCCTCAGTGTCTCTTCTGGTGCCAGGGCCACAGCATTTTGTGATTGTTGCTCTTCGCTCCTATGTAGCACCCACTGAAAGCCCTGGCACCTTGCCCTTTGTTATTCCTTTGTTATTGTGGAATAACAAAGGATCAGTTCCTCCAGCCAGAGACCAACAACTGTTTGTTCTTGGAGCATCTCTCTCTCTCCGTCTCCCTCTCTCTCTTTCTCTGTCTCTTTCTGTCTCTCTTATCTGTCTCTTTGTCTCTCCCCATCTCCCTGTATTGTTTCTGTCTATCTTGTTCGCTGTCTTTGACATTCTGCTCCTGTGGGTTCCTTGCTCGTCCTCACTGTCTCTCCTCTCTCATTATCTCTCTCATTCTCTTTGTTTCTCTCTCCAAGTGTCTCTCTCTGTCCCACCCCATGTCTCTCCCATCTCTCTCTGTAGCTCTTGTCCTCTGGGTCTCTCAATTTGCCTATGTCTGTTTCTGTCTCTCTTTGTCTCTCTGTATCCCTGTCTCCAGCCATTCCCCTGTATAGAAAGGCAGTTATCGAATCAAAGGCCTGTAGACACCTAGCCGCTCACTCAGACACCGAGCACAAGGCCCCTGGCCCTCATCCACTCCACACCCCTCCCCGTCCCAGCATACAGAGGGGGCAGATAGAGGCCAGGAGATGGGCAGGAGGACTCCATGAAGCCCTCACAGAGACACAGTGGCAGAGCTGAGACCCGAGCTCAGATCCCGAGACTCTCAGAGGGGCCCTGGCTCTCTCTCTCTGCCCAACCGTGGGCCTCAGACTACTCGTCAGCACCCATCACAGGCACAGGGGGACCCTGGGCTGCCTCCCATCTGCTGCCATTCTACCTTCAGCCCTCTCATGAGTTGGACCCTCAGGGTCACAGTGTGGGGCCAGCCTCACAAGAGCTAGGCTGGGTGGGGTCCCAGGGCCCCATGAGTCAGGAAGCCTCATGGCCAGAGGGTGGTGATACTAGAGGGACATCAGTCGGTCTGTTTGTGAGTCTGACTGTGGACAGGGCTCAGCCATGTCCCCAGAGTTGGCACTGGTCCCTGGGACTCTCTCCCGGGGCCCCTCCAGAGAGCCTGATGGTACACTCTCTACTGGCAAAGACCAGGGCCTTTCCTGCTCCAATCATGAGGTCCTAGCCAAAGGTGTGCTGGCCTCAACATCCCTTTCCTTCCCTCCCCATCTCTGGCAAAGTGGCTGAGTCTGGGAGCTTTGTCCCAGAATGGGCAGGAAGACAGACCCTTCCCAGGTCCATCTACTGATCACTGACATTTCATTAAGCATTTAGTACTCATTAACTTTGGAAGATGGGTACTATTATTGTCTCAATTTACATGTGAGCCTGAGGAGAGTTACAGCTGTGTACTGTCAGAGCCTGGTTCCAGGCTGGGGGAAGCAGAGGATGATTCTGACCTTCCTGCTTTCCCAGAACTTAGGAGGGAGGCTGAAGGAAGGCTTGCTGCAATTCCAGGCCTGGTAGGCAGGAGGCACTGTGAACTTCAGGAAGTTCCAGTGAATTTGGGCACCAGGGACATTGCCCTTCACATACTGAGAAGTTGAGCCCATGGACCCCACAGAGTCTGTGGGTTTGAGATTCTGGGATCCTTTAAATCTAAGAAATAATGTTCTATGAGTCTAAGTTTCTGGCATAGTACCATTTGAAGACTCTGAGGGCCCCAGTCTCTGTGGGGTCTGCATGGCGCTCCCCAAGCATTAAACCTTGGGCCTCTCCATGGCCCAAGAAGGGCCAGGTCTTCAGGGCCCAGGGCTCGTCATGGTGGCCAGATGGACGTCACTCACCACATCCGCCAGCACCCACATCACCCCACCTGGGCCAAACCAGCTGCAGGACGGGATGGCCAATTCTCGGAATGAAACCCGTGGGGTGGGGTACCTGCCCCCTTCTTTTCCTCCTTGGTACTGATGAAGCCCAGTGCATCCGGCCGCCATGACGTCAATGGCAGAAATATCTGGGGAAGTCGGGGGCTGTGACAGCAGGGCTCAGATGCAGACCCCGATACGAAAATACAATCTGTGTCCCAGAAACATCCTCCATGTGGCTTCTGAGAAATAGTCAGAAAGGGACGCCCCAACAGACAGTGCAGGAAGCCAGCTGCCCAGTCTGGTCCTCCAGGTGCCCCACCACCAGACAGACCATATCCACGGCCCCTTTCTGAGAATGTATCTATGCTGCCCTGACTCAGGTGGTTCCAGATGTATCTGGGGAAGTGGCTTCTTATATGCTCTGGCCAAGGGTCCAGGCAGCTGGAGAACCGACCACAAGCTAGCCTTGTGGACCAGGCCAGAGCGTTGGGAAACATTCATGCATCCACCAAAATTGGTATTGGTTTGCTCAGGTCTTCTGTGAAAGACTACCACAAACTAGGTGGCTTACACAATAGAAATGGTTTGTCGCACCGTTCTGGAGGCCGAAGTCCGAGATCAAGGTGTCGGCAGGGGTGGTTCCTCGTAAGGGTATGAGAATCTGTTCATGCATCTTTCATAGCTTTGGATGGTTTGCTGGCAGCCTGATGTCCCTTGGCTTGTTTAAGCCTCACGGTGATCTCTGCCTGCCTTCATCCACTCACTCATGTCTTCAGGGTCTTCGACACTCTCTGGCCCTCGTTCTGTGCCTCCATAGACCCAGGCTCTTAATTCTCAGGCAGTAATGTCCTAAGCCCCTGAAAGACTAGGGGTTTAAATACCTGGATTCTTACCCCTACTTCCTTCAGCACCATAGTTCTGACACCCCCTGTGAGCTGACAGCAAAGGAAAAAGAGCTACTGCCCCCTCAGAACCCTCCCTTTTACTCCCCAGGTCTGCTCTCAGCAGCTCTGTGCCCATCCCAGTGCTGTGGGGTGAGATTGGGACATGAACACACACACACACACACACACACGTGCACATACTTTCTGGAAAAAGAAGTAGAGTTCTCAAGTCACCATGGGGCTGTGGGACACTGTACCTGGTTAGCCACTTCCATAGAATGGAAGTTGGACTTGGCAGTCCCTTCAGTTCTGGCTTCCTCTCAGACTGGGATTACATGAATCTGAGAAACCAAGGCCCTGCCCGTCAGAGAGTGTAAGGTTCTGGAGCCATTTAGGAGGACTTTCTGGACAGGGCTTGTGTACAGGAAGAGGAGGAAGCATTCCAGGTAGGTCGAATAGCATGAGAAATGGCTGGGAGGCAGGCCTGCAAAGCAGAGATTCTGGTAAACTCTGGTGGGAGCCAAGTCAAGGAGCTCATACCAGCCCCTGGCTCAAGAGAATCTGTATTTCCTCCTCTCTGGTACCTGCCCTGCCAGCTCTGTGCAAGGTGGGAGCGTGGAGATGATCTCAGAGATGCCCATCTAAGCTCCAGACTTCTTCACTCAGCTCCTACCCCGCCTTGCCACTTGCACATCTAATGCCAGACTTTCCATGTCCCTCCACACCTGGATCAGGACCCCCGACCCTGCTCCCCCATGTCTCCCCGATCTCAGGTCATGTCAGTTCTGTCCTTCCAGCTACCCGGCTAAACACCCATAAGTCACCATGACCCTCCCTCTCTCACCTCCCACATCCAAGCTGCCATCTAGTTCTCCTGACTCCACCTTCAAAACATAACTCAGAATCCACCCACCTCTTACCATCTCCACTGCCATCAGCCTGATCTGGACTGTTGCTTGCCTGGACTATTGTAGTAGCCTCCTCACTATTCCCCCTACTTCTGCCCTTACCTCCCTAGAGCATCCCCCTTTTACAGCAGCCAGAGGGATCTTTTGAGTCCATGCCCCCCTTTTACTCCTAGATATGCCCGAGTCACTGGGGTAAAAATGCTCCCAGGAGAAAATCAGAACCTAGTCCTAGCAGGGTCAGCAAAGGTTGTGTGGCTTGTACCCAGTTCCAGGAGGATGGGAGGGTGGAGGCTTGAAGTCCACCACTCAAGTGCTGAGATCTACCCTGACTGAAGCCCCCAAAACCAGCCTGAATTCCCCAGCAGGGTTGTGCCAGTGTGTGCAGGCAGGCTGTGTACTCGGTCTATGTATGTCTGCATGGGGGGTGTGCTTGGAAACATAGTAGGCACACCTGTGTCCCTGACAGCAAGTATGTGCATGCACATGCGCACACATGTGACCAGAGCTGGGGTCCCTTTGGGACGGTCCCTGGCCAATGCCTGCTCTTACCAGAGAGGGTGTCCACATGGTTCAAACAGTTGAGTATTTCGTACATGCACAGCCCAGAACACATGTAACTCCTTCTTCTTGTGTCCCTGCAGCCTGCCCTTGGACAAGGACCCAATGCCCAACCCCAGGCCAGCCAAGCCCTTGGCCCCTTCCTTGGTGCTCAGCCCATCCCCAGGAGCCTCGCCCAGCTGGAGGGCTGCACCCAAGGCCTCAGACCAGCTGGGCACCAAGAGCCCTGGGACAACTTTCCAAGGCCGGGATCTCCGAAGCGGGGCCCACACCTCCTCTTCCTCCTTGAACCCCATGCCACCATCGCAGCTGCAGGTAAGGCCTAGGGTCCAGGATGGGGCAGGCAGGGTGGGGCACCTGGGCCTACAGGTGCCGACCTTTACTGTGGCACTGGGCGGGGGGGCCCAGCCGGGGCACAGGAAGTGGTTTTCTGGGTCCCAGGCAAGTCTGTGACTTATGCAGATGTCACAGGGCCAAGAAAGTCCCCACATAGCAGGTCTCAGATTCGAGGCTCTCACCGACCTCCCAACCCATATCTCAAGAGAGGAGACCCCATCATCGTCCCACAGGCATAGCCGTGTGTATCTCCACCCCCATGTGACAAAGGGCTGGGGGCCCACGGAGGTGAGGTGACAGGATGGAAGGCAGCTCTGAAACTTACTAGCTGACTTGACCTTGAAACAGTCACCCAGTCTCCCTGAGCCTCAGTTTCCACATACGGAAAATGGGGATGGTCATAGTACCTAGTAGGCAGGGTTGCAGTGAGGAGTATAGGGATTAGACATGTAGAACGAGCATAAGGATAGCATGTCACCCACCTGCCTTCCCCCAGATGCCCACAGTACCCCTTGTCATGGTGGCACCCTCCGGAGCTCGGCTGGGTCCCTCGCCCCACTTGCAGGCGCTCCTCCAGGACAGGCCACACTTCGTGCACCAGGTACCAGCTCAGCACGGGTAGGGAGGGTGGAGCAGGTGGGAGAACTGGGGAGGGGACCAGGCTGAACCACAGCCCTCATGTGCCCCTAGCTCTCAACAGTGGACACCCATGCCCGGACTCCTGTGCTGCAGGTGCGCCCACTGGACAGCCCAGCTATGATCAGCCTCCCGCCACCCACTGCTGCTACGGGGCTCTTCTCTCTCAAGGCCCGGCCTGGCCTGCCACCTGGTAACACTGTACCCCGCAGCTCCACAGAACCCAGGGGCCGCAATCCTTGAACTAAAGCAGTGTGGGCTGCCGAATCATGGCCCTCGGGGGGCCAGAGGGGTCAGGTCTTATCATCTTGGAAACTCCAACCTCTCAAAAATGTCAGAATCTTAAAGACGCAGAATATCAAAATCCCAGAACCACAGATCTTTTGCAAAGTTAGTCGAAATGTCAGCACAGTCTTTGAGCTGCTCTACAGAAGCTTCGGAGGTTAGGGACCACAGAGCCCCCTGGGAGTCTGGGCCTGCTAAACTCGGGGGGTCAGAAGCTCAAAACGAGAGGCCCGGTTGGGGCCAAGCTTCAGAGCCTGGCACCCAGAGGTGCCCTGTCCCCCCTGCAGGGATCAACGTGGCCAGCCTGGAGTGGGTGTCCAGGGAGCCAGCACTGCTCTGCACCTTCCCAAGCCCCGGCATGCCTAGGAAAGACAGGTCAGTGAGCAGGGCTGGGAAGGCTCCCTGCCCTGCCACCCCTGCCCCTGACACTCTTTGTCCCCCCAGCACCCTTTCGACTGTGCCCCAGGGCTCCTACTCACTGCTGGCAAATGGTGTCTGCAAGTGGCCCGGATGTGAGAAGGTCTTCAAGGAACCAGAGGACTTCCTCAAGTGAGTGAGCCGGGCCCACTGGGCCCATTCTGGTCCGGGGGTGGGGGACAGTTTGTGGGAGGAGGTCTGGGGGTGCAGGTTTCAGCTCAGGCCTCATCCTGATAGGGAGTAAGATGAAAGAGGCAAAAGCTGAGACTGTGGGTTCAGAGCCTGACTCCATCACTCATGGACTCTGATCTTGGGCAAGTTAGTTTCTCTGAGCCTCAGTTTCCTCATCTGTATAATGGGGCATCACAATAGAGGTGTGTGGTGATTGCCTCCATTTTTACAGACAAAGAAATTGAGGCCAGAGCAGTTAAGTGTCTTGATCAAGATCACCCAGCCTCTGAGCGACAGCCAGGCTCCAGAATCCACACTCCTAACTGCTTTGCCTGCTACCCTGTCATGCCAACACACCAGACTGATTTTATTGATCCCCAAAGTCCCAGATCCTCACAGTGGCTATTGCTGCCTCCTCTCAGCCCCATCACACACACACATACAATCACACACTCTGTTTCCCTCACTCTTTGTCTCACACCCACCCCCTTCTCCAACCATACCCAACTATCAGTGGCAACTCAGTGCATCCTGTCTTCACGACCAGGCCTTTGCACAGGCTGTCCTCTCCATCTGGAATGCCTTTCCCACTCTCACTTACCTGGCCCACTCTCAGCTCACTACCCATCCATCATCATCTCCAGCACCCTGGTCATACAGTAGATGCCAAGTAGCATGCGTTGAAGGAATGACAGGTCTGAGAGGGAGACTGAGGTCAACAGAGGGGAGGGAGGCTGAGACTCTGAAGAGACCTTCCTCCCAGAGCCTGAGCCCTTTCCCCTCAGAATGTTGAGCCAGAAGGCTGGGCCCACCATGGTCACCCACGTGGACTCTTCCCCCTACCCAGGCACTGCCAGGCAGACCATCTCCTGGATGAGAAGGGCAGGGCGCAGTGTCTGCTCCAGAGGGAGGTGGTGCAATCTCTGGAGCAACAGGTGATGTAGGGGGGAGTGGTAAATGGTCAGTCCACCCCATGCCAGGAGCCAAGCTCACCCAGGAAGGGGCCTGGCCTGATGGAAGGAAGGGGGCAGGGCACTCCCAGGGAAGACCACAGCCCAGACAAAGAAGTGGAGAAAGAGGGGGTCAAGGCCTCACTCTGTGCCTGTCCTCACAGCTGGTGCTGGAGAAGGAGAAGCTGGGTGCTATGCAGGCCCATCTGGCCGGGAAGATGGCCCCAACCAAGGCTCCATCTGCGGTGAGCCACCCCAGACCCACAGGTGGCGCGGACGGCTGGGCAGTGGGAGAGGCTCCTGCAGGGGGCAGGGGACTTATCCTTGCACCCAGGTCCTGGGATCTTTGGGCCCCTGTCCCCAGCTCCAAACATACCCAGACCTGGGAATCTGTCGCTTTCTGCTTACAAACTCTCTGATCTTAAGATCCCAAGACATCACGATCTTGAGTTTGCAAAGCAGCAGCAAATCACCCAACACTGAACACAGACCATGTGCTGCTGGCAGAACCACCTATATAACTCACAGAGCCTGGTGCAAAATGAAATCGCGGGGCTTGGATTTCAAAATGATGATTGCAGAACATTAAACAAAGTGCCGGGCCCTGGGCACCTGCAGCAATCATATAGAAGCCAGCCCTGGGTGTCAGGCACTGTTTCTGAGCTTTGGCGATGTTACCTTATTTAATTCCTCATGATGCCTGTGTGAGGTAGGTATTACTGTCATCCCCACTTCACAGATGAGGAACACTGAGGCCAGGGAGGCTTAGGTGGCTTTCCCAAGGTCCCAGTTGGGTGGCAGAAGAGCCCAATTCAACCCTAGCATGTGGCCCCATCACTGGTGCTCTACACCCATTTGTCCACACCTCCACTCTAATAAATATGGTTTGTGCTGCTTTGTCGGATTCTGCATCAGAGTGGAATTGAGGACGCCCTTGCTTTTGTTAATAAAAACACTTATTTAAAACTAAAGTGGAAAGTTTAAGCCTCTGGGTCACCAGCCCCTCCCTCTTCCCCCAGGCATCATCTGACAAGGGCTCCTGCTGTATCGTAGCCACTGGCACTCCAGGCACCACCGTCCCGGCCTGGCCAGGACCCCAGGAGGCCCCCGATGGCCTGTTTGCCGTGCGGAGGCACCTCTGGGGCAGCCATGGAAACGGCACATTCCCAGGTAAGGGTGGTGCATGTCCTACACGGTGGCCCCTGACCCCTCATCTCCCTACCTAGTACAAGGTGGGGGACCACTCTTCTCTACCACTGCCACCCAGACTTTGAGAAATGTCAACTGCTTGCAAAAGCTTCCTCTCTGGAATTCCATGGCCTCCAAGCCCCCATTGTGGTCTCAGATGTCTAGCCCTGTCTTCCCTGGAGGTTGGGACTCACTCACTCTGGGCTTCAGCTACTCACTCCATTTGGTCATCAGGAGGGAGAGAGCTAGCTTAATAATTCCCAGGGACTCTGTTTCCCCACCACCAAGAAAAAGCAGGGTGACTCGCCAAGCTCACCAATCCCCTGCCACCCACATGGTCTGGGCTATGGGTTTAACAGGGATCAGGGCCTTTGAGTGCCCTCCTGGCTCCGCCACTTAACCAGTTACATCCCTTTGGTGTGGAAGTTACTACTTTTAACCTTGGGAAGAATAAGCCCTATAGTGGTGGGAGCAGTGTAAAGAGGAAATGGTATCATTTTACATAGAGTGCTTAGCAAACAGTTATTGTGATCCAGGAAAGCGGCATACATGGTGGGATTTCAGGCATGCAGACTCAACAGCCAGTGGAAAGCAGAGGGTGGGTAGAGGGAGTGAGGAGTTCCCAGATGGCACCTGATCCCTCCCCACCTCTTGACAGAGTTCTTCCACAACATGGACTACTTCAAGTTCCACAACATGCGGCCCCCTTTCACCTATGCCACCCTCATCCGCTGGGTAAGCAGGGTGCCAGGCTGAGAAGGAAGAGAGGGCTGGAGTGGAGGACCTTCCCCTCACCGAAGGGGAGGCTCCTGTGTGAACAAACCCATGCCTTAGATGTGATTCCCCTATCTACACCCCAAACCCACACCTCAACTGCTATCCAAGCCACGGCAAGCCAAGAGCCGGCCCTAAATCCACCCCTTTCCTAATGACCACCTCAACCCCATGCCTAACTGCCTCCTGGGCCCATAAATAGCCAAACTAATCTTATCTCTGCCCCTTCCCCTGTGCCCACCTCAGGTTCACCCTAACTCCTTCCTCAGCCCTGACGTACTCCAGTTTGTCAAGACATCCCCCCGCTAGACCCCATCCCCAACCCCTTCCTTGTAATACCTGACCCTTCACCTCACCCCATCCCAACCCCTTCATCTTAATCTCCCTAATGCCTTTCCCGAGGCTTTACCAGAGCCCACCTGGACCTTCATCCCAGGCCCGCACCTAACCCTACACAACGCCACCCGTTCACTTGCCTCACCCCATCCAAACCCGGAGGCTCACCGCAGCCCATGATCACTGACCCCTGACGCAATTCCATTCCTAAATCCAAGCAGGTCAAATTCCCAGACCCTCAGCCTCACTCTACACCCAATCCCAGCCCAGATTCTTAAATGACCACACATAGTCAAGACCTAAATACAATCCAGACACACAAAATAACTAGGCCCATCTCTGCCTCCTGACCTAATGCTACACCCCTCGCCCCTAGACTCACCCCAGCTCATCCCCAGCCTGACCCTTAACCAGTCACGTCTCTGACCTCTTAACTCTGCTGGGCCCTTTACTCCTTCCAAACCCCTAACTGTACCCCACCCCTGGCCCTTAAAATTCCTAAACCCTGAAATCTCACCCCACCCCCATCCCGAGAGCTCCAACTCCACCCCAGAAATTTAACTTCACTCCAGCCCTGACCCTGAATCAGACATCACTCCAACCCCAGCCCTGATCCTTCACCTAACCCCATCCCAGCCCCACCCTCACCCCACTTCTAACCCTGTCTCTGACCCGTCACCCCTCACCATCTCCCTCCCTTCCCCTGTCCCCACAATTCCACCCAGGTCAGAGGCCAGCCCAAAGTGGGCCAGTGCCCCTGTCAGGCTGCATTTGGGGGAGCAGCTCCCCTCACCCCCACACCCCCTAACCTCCAGGCCATCCTGGAGGCTCCTGAGAAGCAGCGGACACTCAACGAGATCTATCACTGGTTTACACGCATGTTTGCCTTCTTCAGAAACCACCCGGCCACCTGGAAGGTGAGCTCCTCTGGACGGGGCAGTGGCTGGGAGAGCCTCAAACGCCACCACAGGGGGGCCTGGGAGGGGGCTTGGAGGCATGTTGGTAAAGGACAGGAGGTCAGTTTGGGGTGGGCACTACTGGCATCAGTGCATGACTGCCTGATCCCCCCACCCCCCTGGCCCTGGCCCGGCTGGCTGGTCCTCCTTGCACAGAATGCCATCCGCCACAACCTGAGCCTGCACAAGTGCTTCGTACGTGTGGAGAGTGAGAAGGGGGCTGTGTGGACCGTGGATGAGTTTGAGTTCCGCAAGAAGAGGAGCCAGAGGCCCAGCAGGTGTTCCAACCCCACACCTGGCCCCTGATCTCAGAGCCAAGGAGAGAAGGGAGGACAGGGGAGGGGATCAAAGCAGCTGGGGGCAGGGGTGACCAGCCCTGGACATGCCTGCAGGGACCAAGAAGTAAGGTGTGCACTGTCCTGCCAGTCAGGGACCCCACTCCCCAGCTGACTGCCCTCTTGGATCACACGCTCTGCACCAAGGATGCTCAGAGGGACCCCAGGCCCAGCCCTGCACCCACTCCCCAGCCCCCTGCGACGGGCTCTTCAGCCAAACTGAGAGTTCACAACCAGTCATACACACAGCCTGCCTCAGTCACTCTCACAGATGACCTTGGAGCTGGAAAAGGACACATAAGAGTCGCAATCCTGTCCCCTGGGCTCTATACAAACCCCCAAAACATGAAGAGCCTGCCTCAGTACACTCACACCACCTCAAGTTTGCAGTCACACAGTCACACCCACACACAGTCAACCCACATCCCCCAAAGCACACACCCACAGCCGGCTTCCAGGCCCACAGGTACAGTGTCACATAAGGCAGGCCCTGAAAACAACACAGAAGCAGCCTTGGGACCTTCAGGATGTCAGGTTCCAGAAAGCCACCCAGACGCATGCACGCAGGTCACACACGGTAACGCATGGCTCCCAACACACATGCTTGGTCACACAGACTCTGAACTCACCAGCACGTCTCATGTGCACATGCACACCCACGTGTGTGGGTGCACAACACCCCGATGGGCCTCCGGAGTCTCAGGCAGACACCCAGGGCTACACACACTGACTCACCAAATGTACCCAGGGTCTCACCTGCCACCTACCCCTTCCCCACCCTGAGCCCTGCACCCTCCTCCATGCCTCAGCTTAGACTGCAGACAGAGCCCCTCATTTATTTGAGATCCAAGACCCCAACCCCCGCCCCATGCCCTCCACAATAAACTGAAGCCAAGCTCCCACACTCTGGATGATTGCCCCAGATAAGGGTTGGGGTGAGGCGGGTGAGGGTCTGGGGCCAAGGCTGCAGCAGGAAGAACTGGATGGTAATCAGAGGGCACAGCGAGGGCCAGTGCCCCCAGCACTCCAAATCCCTGCCTGAGGCCAGGGGATAGACCTCTGGTGGGGGCTGCTCAGGCCTCACGGATCCGGCCCAGGAGCCCAGCGTTCTCCTGGCGAAGGGCTCGGTAGTCCTCACGGATCTTCTCCAAGTTGCTGAGGGTCTTCTTGCCCATCTCCGTCTCAATCTAAGGCAATGTGAACCGCAGCCCTTCAGCACGCAGGGCCCCGTTCCCAGCTCCTGATTGCCACCAACACCCCACTGCAGCCACTCAGGGCCCCACTGTGCTCCTCCCCCCCTCTGCCCCAATGACAGCCTGCTCTGTCCCACCACCGGGCCTTAGCATATGTCATCCATCCACCTGAAGCATCTTTGGCTGTGTGGCAGGATCACCCAGCCCATACTTAAGCTGAAGCCTCTGCCAATGGCCCCGGAGGCAGGTATGAGGAGCCTCAGGACGGAAGGCAGAGCTCAGAGCAGGCCACTGGGTGGTTCCAGGTCACACAACCAGTTACTAACAGGCAGGGCTAAGACCCCAGCCATTGGCTAGGTCTGGGCCCACAGCCTCTCTGTCCCCTGGCCTGCCTTGCTGAGCCCTCCCACCCCCTGGCCTCACCTGCTCCTCCAGGTCTCGAACCTCCCTCATGATCGTGCCTGTGTCCTCGATGGTCTGGATAAGCTGGCTGCAGTTCTGGGGACAGCAGGAGTGGAAGGCTTACACCCAAATTTGTCCCCTCCCCAGCCAGCCCCCAGGCACACTTCTCCCCTCACCTCGTGCAAGGCAGCTAGATACTTGTAGGCCTTCCGAACAGCATCATCCTTTTTGGCGTCCTGATGAAACAGGGGATCTTGAAGGTGTCAGTGAGCTGTTCCTGCCCCGCTCCCACCCCACCCCCACCTTCAGGCCCCCACAAGGCCACCCCTTCCCACTCCCCTGACTTCATCTTCCATGGGGCAAAGCCAGGCACAAGCGTCAGTGTAACTACAAGACTCACACCTGGTCCAGGCCCACCCACCCCACCCCTACACCCAGCCCGGCCTGCCCCAAACCTTGAACACAAGTTCATCAGTCACTGCAAATGTCCGGTCCAGCTTCCCAGACAGAGAGTTGATTTCCTTCTGAAGCTCCTTCGTGTCAGACAAGATCTGGCAGAGACCAGGGTACTCGTGAGCCCATGTCTGGGGCAGGCAGCCAGCCAGCTGAGGCCATTCATATTCATGCTGTCACATCTAGACAGGCTCAGTGGTGGCTGGAATGGACTGTGAGGGGCTGCGCTGTGCCAAGTCTGGCCAGATAGTTCTGCCTTCCATACGGTGTGAGGTCCCTGTGTCACCCTGCAACACACATCCTGCCCTGGGGCATGTCTGCCTGAGTGACCCACTTTCCACAGCCACAATGGTGTACCTTGGTGATCTCTTCCTTCTGCTTCCGGATGTTGCCCACAATCTCCAGGATGCGCTGGGTATAGGCCAACCGGGACACATCTCTGGGCAGGGTCTCAAGCTCTGACACCTACACAGAGACAGCAGGTGCTCCCCTTGGACCCACACCTCCCCCACTCCAAGCCACCCAAGGCCCCCACACAGGTCTTTGGTTGTTGGTCGATCAGTTGCTTCAGTCATGTCTGACTCTTTGTAACCCCATGGACTGTAACCCGCCAGGCTACTCTGTCCATGGGGATTCTCAAGCAAGAATACTGGAGTGGGTTGCCATCTCCTCCTCCAGGGGATCTTCCTAGATCAGGGATCAAACCCGTGTCTCCTGCATTGGTGGGTAGATTCTTTACTGTCTGAGCCACCAGGGAAGCCCCATGGTTCTTACCAGCTGCTTGTAGACCTCCTCCTTCCGGCGGGCTTCTTCAGCAGCTGCCCGAACGCTCTGGTGCAGCTCCTGGATCTCTGCCAGCCGCCGAGAAGATTCCAGCTGCCAGGGTCCCAAGGAGAGAGGGTAGTGAGGCAGAGCACAGGACGAGACCCCTAGGGAGGGACTGAACCTACCCCACCCATGGTCTGGGACCCCACCACCTACCTCTCTGCAGTCCTGGAGCTTTCGGAGGTGGCGGTACTCAGCGAGGAGTGGGACCCGGTGCTTTTCCCACTGACCTGCCAAGTGGATGACCCGCTGGGCACTGCTCTCTACCACGAGCTGGAGGGTGGTGGGAGGGGGGCTGTAGATCACACAGGCTGGGCCCACCCAACTCCAACCCTCCCAGCCCAGCCTCAGCACCAGCCCCACCTGCAGCTTGGTGAGGTTGGCAGCCCCGTCGGGCAGCAGCTCCACCGCCTGGCTCTTCAGACGCAGGGCTTGCTCACGCTCCATGATGCTGAGCTCACTCTGCCGACATTCGGTCTCCACCTGGCACCCCAGAAACCCTTAATCCCAGTCAGTAGGGGAGCCCAGCCTGCTGAGCCTGGAAAGCCCTGGCCTAGCCCAACCCCCACAGATAACAATACATCCCTCTAGCCCTTATGGCTTTCCAGGTGGCACTAGTGGTAAAGAACCTGCCTGCTAATGCAGGAGATGCAAGAGATGGGAGTTTGATCCCTGGGTCAGGAAGATCCTCTGGAGGAGGTCATGGCAACCCACTCCAGTATTCCTGCCTGAGAATCCCATGGACAGAGGAGCTACAGTCCAAGGGGTTATAAAGAGTCAGATACAACTGAAGTGACTTAGCATGTACGCAGCCCCTATAGGCCCCTCAGACCCCTCCCAATAGCAACAGAGACATATAAGCAGAGACAGGCACCCACAGCAGACCCCACTGACTCCTTGACCTCAACACTGACTCCCCTGGAAACCCTGAGGAGGCCCACAGGCCCCTCCAGTTGCCCGTGGACAGTCACACCCCTCCCGACTCTCACAGACAGCAAGGCACCTCTAACCCCTATAGGTCCCACACCCCCCCTCTCACTTCCCCCGATTCTCCGGAACCCTCAAGAGTCCCACAGGTCCCCAGTGGCTTCCATGAACCTTTCTGACATCTGCAGACCTCTACAGAGTACCCTCAGCCCCCACAAGTCCCTCTAAGCCCCCAGGCCCAACCTCAGTGGGCAGCCCCTTCGCCCACCCTCACCTGCACAAGGTTGATTCCCAGCGTCTTCATGTTAGCTTCAACCTCTTCAATGTTGTGGTTCACCCCCTCCAGCTGCTCCCGAAGAGACTCCAGCTCCTGCTCCTGGGCTGCCCATGTGTCCTGGTAGACACAGGCCAGGCGGGGTGGGGGTGTCAGGCTCAGTAGACAGCCCAGGGCGCAGGACACTGCCCCACCCACCATTGCTCTGCTCACCTGTTCAGGCCGCTGGGAGGTGGCTGGCACATCTGACACCTGAGCTGCCTGAGCCTCAGGCTCCTGGGGAGGGAGGAAGGAGCATCCTGGCTGTCGGGGAAGGCCCGGGCCCTCACAGCCAACCTCAATACCCTCTGTCAACACCCTCCCAGCACAGTACTCATGTACAGTGCACTGACAGCTGTCGGAATACGTGTGAGGATCAAGGCACTCTCCGTGACCTTAGACTGGAGTGTTTGCTTAGAAAAAACCTCCCTGACCCTGACACAGCTCCTACCCACCTGCCCATGAGAGGGGTGAGGGCCCCTCTGGGTGACCATCCAAGAAGAGATGTCCAGAAGAAACTCTCCAGAGAAAGCTGAGCTTTGCACAAAAGCAGTCCTACACATTTACACAGCTCCCACCCCCAGACCCTTTCTCCACAGAAGTTCCCAGGAAGCCAGGGGACCCCTCTGGGTACCCACCCCAGTGGGGAGCAGGCAGGTCTGGTGGGAACAGGGGCCCCTTGTGTGGAGAGAGTGTGGTATGTCTACCTACAGCAACCTTGGTGCCATCAGCATGCCCTAGCCCCACCTACCAGATGGAAGGTGAACTTCTTGGAATGTGTAAAGCGGGAGCCTTTGGGAGCACCAGGCCTGGCTCCAGCACCCCAGGCCTGCAGCAGTTCTCCCAGGTCTCGGGCTT